AAGAGACAAGAAAGTAAATATCTCCAAAACGAATTTTCTCTGTCCCAATTTCAACCTTTTTCTCCCTACGAGAATTGCCACAAAATCACCACCAGTTTTGCAGAACAAAGGAATACATCCAACGCGCCTCACATAACTCAGTGCGTTCCCTCTTACGTGAACAGTTCCTCAAGGCGAGCAAGGGAGCAAGTTGCGAAAACAACGCGTCGCGCCACGATTTTCGCGAAATACCATTGCTCCGACACACCGCGATAAGATGTCTCGTGCAATTTTCCCGCGGGAATGCGCGACAAATCTGGACGTTTTACTGCGCAAAATACCGCCGTAAATTGCATCCTATTTCCATACGATCGCGTGTGTTGTCCGCGAACAATGTTGGCCGCAGCAAATTGCACACATTTCGTTTTTCTTAATCGTGTTCGCTCCTTACAAAACGTCATTTTCGAAAATCAATTTGTACCTCCAGGATATCACTATTTGTTCGTCCATTACAATGTGACTTTTGAGTCGCTATTTTCAAATGAAAATTTCACACTTCTCGTTGTAAGATAATAAAAATCGAAATTAGTATTTTGTAAACGTTACTAAAATCTTCGTGACACGATACACGAACAGTTTTTCTTTTTTTTTTAATTCGACCTTACACTAAATCACGTCGATTCGACCATTTAGACCATTTTTCACCATGATAAAACATTTGCACGTTAAAGGTGACAGAGTCCAGGTGTATCCCCCATTATCAAGCGCGCGTAAAATGTAAGAAGGTAGACGGCAAGCTGAGTCCTTCGATAAAGCGAAAATAACGGGATCGTGATAAGGGCTGCCTGAAATAGAGCTGCTTGAGCACGCAATCGATTCGCGCGAGCTTTTATTAGTAGTTATTCGCTAGATCCTGGCCGTAAGCATGCGCACGTTTCTTCTTTTCTTTTTGAACGTCCACCGTTTTATGCTCTTGTTCCCCTGTGGTGCACGGAAATCGATCACGTTACTTACATACTCACTTCCGTTGATGTTCCGTTGACGTTTCGCTGTCGCATGCAGCGAGTCCACGCGGTTGCCCGGTAGAACCGTTTCGAAATTGGAAAACGGTGTAATTCCGTGGTGTTACGAGCCTGGATCGACGTTTACGCGCGTGGCTTCATATGGAAATACCCTATCGAATTTATGTAAATATCGCGGTGTATGTGTACCGCATCCTTGAAGAAGGAGAATAAAATATATCGATGCGGGGCATAAAACGGAAAGGAAGTTTCGCGGCGACGAGCGCGGAGGAGCTGAAGTTTGAAATTTGGTGCTAAAAATTTGCAATTTGGAATCTAAAATCTAAAATTTGGCATTTGAAATCTAAAATTTTTAATTTAAAGTTTGAGATCTAAGATTTGAAATTTGAAACCTGAGATTTGAAATTTGAGATTTAAGATTTGAAATTTGAAACCTGAGATTTGAAATTTGAAAATTTCAGATTTAAGATTTGAAATTTGAAATTTGAAGTTTCACACCACGGAATTAAAATCTCCCGGATCAGTTTTTACCCTCTCGATGTTTAGCCTCCGCATGAGTGTCAAAAAGCTATGCGACACAAGACTTGACCACACCACGCGACACTCTAACCGATCTCTCAGACAAACCGAAACACAGAAAACCTACTGTACCATTTCTCAGCAAAATAGGGTCCATAGTCTTTCGATGCTTTCACCGAACATTTCCATCGAGTTCTCAGGCGACGAAACGATCGCTGAATTATAAAACACTCAACGAAGCTTGCATAGTACTCGAACGAAAAATTCGTTGCGACAATAACTGGATGAAATAATTCACTAAGCTACGTGCTACTATCTCTAGCTGAAAAATATTGAAAAAGATATACGTACGAAAAGAAAAGAATTCTCTCCGTACTGTGATTAGGGGATGTTAAAGGAGGGGACAATTCCAGAAGCAGCGATTAGATTAAAAACCGATGTAAGTAATATATTTTCATATTTACAAGGACTTTTAGTTGTAAGTTGAATAAGTCGGATAGTTGAATATATGGATGTATGTATACATATAATATGTGTTGCGCTTGTAAAAATATAAAGTGCGTTTTTTCAAAACGTATTTATTCCATCGACGTGTAGAAACGACAAAAATGAAGAACACCTTCGAACGAGCAAGAGGAATAGAACGAGATATAAAGTAGGTAAAAAAGAAAGAAAGGAAGAAAACGTAACGCGCGCGGTTCGTATCTTTCTTTTCGGAATTTCCGTGGCGAAAACGTTCGATCGGCGTTCTCGTTTCGGGAACAGGGAACAAAAGGACGAAAAACAAAACTCTGTACCGCCGTGAACACGGAGGAAAGGTAAAGAGAGAGAGAGAGAGAGAGAGGACGAAAATAAAAAGCAATTTCCGTTCGACGCAACGAGTACATTTTGAAAGAACGCCATGAATAGGTATGCTTTCACTGAAAGCGATTAATTTCCAAGAACTTCGTTTCGTTCCTCGATCGCGAACCACAATAACGTCGTTTTATATTTCTCTCGACCATTTTTCCCCAGCCAATATATTTATATATATTCATTCTCCTGTTTTTTTCACGAAGTAATTTTTTCATTAAAAAGAAATTCCCACGAATTTTATTTCACCGCGAAACGAAACGAAACGATCGGTTGTTTCTTTCCTTCTTCATTTTGCAATTTCGTAGCAAAAACACATTTCACGGATCGAGGAGATGGATTTTCTTTCCAGTTTTCCCTCTGAAAGAAATTTCGCGTGCGAGAGTCCCACGCCAAAGCGGATCATCTACTACTTGATCATTTTGTGTTTCGCAGCTTTCGAGAAGGCACGTAGTGAAGAATCGTTATTAAGACGAGCAATATAAAAACGTTTCTCGCGGAGTCCGGCAGGGACGAGGAATCGCGTTCGTTGCTTCGATTATCGCACCCGATCCATCCCCCTCAACGCTTGACTCGGTACACCGGGAGGCAGAGCCGCTGGTTCTCCGCCCCTCGCTTCCGGATCGTTGATGGCTGCCTCGGAAGCCTTGAATCTCTTGTATTTCCCTGGAAAACAGAAATTCATTGTTCCCACTACTTTCTGAAAGAAAGGAATCTCCTCGGAGAAAAAGGACATTTAAAAAAGAAATGTTTTGCTATATTTATTCGCTGGTGTTGTTCTTTGAACGAGTCATAATTCGAACTATAGAACTTCCTGTAGAAGTGAACGGGGTTAAGTCGATTTTTATCGTAGATATCATTTTTTTTTTCAGCTGAAATTATGACTCGTTGAAAGGGAGCACGAAATCGAGCTGGTATACCAACACGAACAGTTCGGTCGATTTTGGATCGATGATTAATAATTACTTACTCGCTAAACGGACCAAAGTAACGCCCCACCAAATGCTCCAGCCCCACCCAACCAGGCAGAATAAAACGGTGAATAATTGACCCACCCCGACCATCAGGTTCACCACGAACGCGCCTAGTCTCGATTTCAGTCCAGCCACCGCTGAGAATCTCGGTTGACCGGTGCATAGGTTGAAAATACCACTCCAAACGGTACCTAAAGTGGTGACACATTTATTTCGACTGTTCTATACCTCTAGAACAACGATTAACGTTTTATTTAGAATATCGAATAGTAATTTTTGATATAAATGTCACGTTTGCCTTTATTTGCAAGTTAAAGTAGACCTTTAAATCCTCCAAAAGTAGCTTAACGAGAATTACATAATCTTGAAGTTAACAGGGAAAATGCTGAGAATTTTTCAACACTTCGGTAATCACACGATAGAAATCTGACGTTTCATATTACACGACCTGATATTTTTACCATTAAACGGTCGTTTAATTTACCAGAACCAGGCAGTAGAACGTTCCACACGAGACAAAACCAGGCAAGAGGAACTGGCAGGCACGGAATTGCGCCACGCATTAAGGAATTGTGCTCTACCAGAACATCCGGTATCTTAGCCTTTGGTTCCTGTTGTTTAACGAGAGAGAAAAGAGTCGATGTTAGTCGTTATTGAAATGGACACTTTTGTTTTACTTTTTATTTCTATTGTAATTCAAGTTTAATTACTTCTGATAATGGAGGCGGTGCTACGCTGGTAAGACTGTGCTTGGCACGTATGTTTCTTGTGCGTTCTGCTTCAGAGTTTCGCCTGCATTTGCAGTTGTCGAACAAACGGCGGCAAATCGCGCCGAATCTTCTTTCAGGAGGACAGCAAACGGCAGCTTCAGCGGGAGCGATCCTCGATCTTCTTGAGCAACATTTCATATCCCCGAATCGTTTGCACCTGACACGAAAGAAAGTTTTCATTCATTATTCATTCGACGAAAAAAAATAAATATTCACGGTTGACGATTTTCTAAGTTTGTTTCTTTTTTGCTTCTTCTTCGTAGATCGCTGCAAAGACAATTTTGAGGAAACGTATGTACGTAGGAAGTGATAATATCGTGCAGAGAAGTTTATTTGTTCCGAAAGTTTCATTAATATTAATTCCGATATATACCCTCTAAATATTAACGAGCAAAATAAAATCAATCTTCCGACGGAACGCGCCTAGAAAGCATAACCATGAATATTAATGCTTCAATGAAACATCCAACCGTGACGGAGGCCGTTAAAAACCTCGTCTGAATTCGTCAGGTGAAAGCTAATCCTTCGGAGACATAATATTGTATTCCATTAACTTAATCTGATCTTAACAATCTACCGCATGCCGCTAAATTGAATTTCTCAAATCAGCATACACTTCTCTCGTTTATAGCGATCATCCACTTAAATCGTTCATTACACTCTGATTACATATATCTCGTTCTTCGCCGTATAATTTACATATCTACTTTCAAATATTGAAAAATTAAACGTTAAATTATTATTATTCAACTTTTGAAATTAACAACCTTTCCCCTAAAAAAAAAAGAAGAAACTCTTGGTTAAATGGCACGACTAATTACAGAAGCAATCAAGACAGAGAAGAAACGTAAGAAGAAATTCACTCTGAGTGAGATCTAAAACAAATCCGTGGTACTGATAAAGATCAGCGGCGAAATCGAATTTCTAAACGGCAAAAATTTACCAACTTTCTCATCCAGCTCTCGTACCTGCACCTGTTCTTGAATTTAGGCCAGCAGCCGGAGGGCACGTTCTCCCTGGCCAAGGGTTGCTCGTTCCTGGTCACCGTTGCGTTCGTTCTAGCATGACTTCTGGGCCAGGTGAACACTTTCGGAGCCGTTCGACACGCCAAACACCTCATGCTGGGGCAACACTCGCAGCAACGACTCAAGGATCTCTTCCAGCGTGTGAAAAGTCTGTCGGGTGCTCGATCGCCGACGCCGTTCGCCGCTGCCAGAACCCTGTAATCGAAGGGCGAGCCGCGCCCCGTGCTGTTAGCATTATTAAAAACGGTTGCTCGATCGATTCGCCCCGATAAAGGAGCCTTCGGCGTCGATTAAGAAGGGAATGACAGGCGTCGATGGAGCGTGACGCGATTAAAGGTACCAGAGTTGCGTTTAGGGTGGTGGATTGCTTCAAGGATCTCGCGAGGGTGAATCTGGGTCGAGGTTAAGTTGTTTCTCGAAGATGGATTTGGTAATTGGGGGATTGGAGGATGTTTGGTTTTGGAATTAGAAGGCCTTCTGTGAATTATTGATCAATATTGGGGTGGCTTTAATTCGACGTGATTATTTGGTGTATTCGTACTGCGAGCCGAATGATTTCTTCTCTCTTGTAACGTAGGAAGTAATTTGGAGGATGTTTGGTTTTGGATTTGACTATTTGTTACGCTAATACCGTCAACAGTATTTCTTCCCTTCAGTAACGCAGGAACTTATAAGATATACATATAACTTCCAAGTAGTAGCATGACACCGAGTGTTTCCCAGTGAATATACCCTGTACTGGTCAGACACAACCGCGCGTGGAGCGTATAGCATACGTACCGAACAGTTCAGCTACGTGAAATCTAAACAATCTCAAACATTAATAATCCCATTATCACACTTGAATCACCTATCGACACTACTATCTTAACATCTGAACGACACAATAGCAGAGATATTAAATACTTCTTGGTACACAGGCGTCAGGCAGGAAATTAGGTGTCGATCAAACACACCACCGCAACATCGCCGTTCAATCAGGCCTCTGGTAATTAATCAGCGAACCAATCAGCCTACTTCATAATACTCCCCCCTGAAATCGAGGTGGCCCTCTCTCTCTCTCTCTCTCTCAACGATCGCGTACCAATTAAATCGCATCGATTTCCCTGTTAACCCGACCTCCCACGCCACCATAAATTCGCACTGCGAGATATCACACGACAAGGTGGAGAGAAAATGTCACGTAGTAGGATTCCTATCGATCGTCCAACGAAACAACGTGCACCAAATTCCCACGTGTTGCCACACTCTCGAACACCTACCCTTTCCTGTTCGACGTGTCTCTTCCGTATTACCAACCTCTCCTCCGGTTCGAACGAACTCGCCGAAGAAAGAAAGATAGGGCGCGGTAGGTTTGCCTGTTATTTCGTACACCGCGCAAATGGAAGCTCTAGATCTTCGCGTAGATCCTCCTGATGGATGACCGACCGCGCGCGCGGAAACGTCACGATTCACGGCGAACGGAAGTCGGGAACGGAGGAAGATGATCTCGAGGGCACGGATCGATCGGAAGGGTGTAGGTGAACGCGCGAGGAAAACTTTCCTTCACTGTGTGATACGGCTGGCGAACGAGCATCGCGGCACCGCTCGTTGTGTCGCACGAAGATTGCAGGTGCCGCAGTCCTCGGGGGTTGGCCGGACCTACGAGGACGAAGGGCGGCGAAGCGAAGAGAGGGTGGCCGTCGGCCACCGCTGGCCAGCGAGCCGGTCACGCAAAGATTTTCTCCTTCGGCTGCCTGCATTAACACACGTACCCAAGACCCACCAGCACAACGCGACTTCCTTCGGTTGACCGCGAAATCGATACCGGGCACGGTGAAGTTCTTTACCTTAACATCGCCGCCTTTTTTCAAGGCGCCCACGCTCTCCCCCGTCTCACCGCCCCTCCCGCCTCCTGTCATTTTTTTTTCTCTCCTCTCTTTTTTACGTGGCGTGCTCGTGACTCGGTTAATTTTTCGTTTCTTTTCTTGATCCTCTGTCTTTTCTCTCTCTCTGTCGTCGATTGCGTAAGTGTCGATAAGGTGATGCATTGTTTTCGGCGGCGAGCTGGTTCGAGGAACTTTTTCGG